TGTCATCTTCGTCCTGGAGTTCTTCGCCTACGTGGAAGATGGAATCCAACACCGGCTGGGAACCGCAAAATGGGGCGACTTGGGGGACATCTGGGAGTGCCTCATCGTGGGGGTCGAACTCGACATGTGCCGCCTGGGAACCACACGCTGGGACGACGTGGTGGACCTCTGAAAGTACCTCCTGGTGGGAACCGAGCTCAACATCGTCCTCGCCGTGGGAGCCGAGCTCAGCAGCGCCCTGGCAAGACTGGAGCCCGAACCCACAGGGTAGTTCCTGGCCCGAACAGAACAACCAATGGGAGGGCGGCGCCGAAAGGACAAATGGAAGATCGACGAGGTGGGAATGGGAGAGTTGGTTGGCAACATCGTCATCGTCTACGACCTCCACCTCGCCGCCGTCAATGACAAGCTCGACGACGTGGTCTTCAAGGCAGGTACAACTCCCGCCCAACTCAGGCCTGTTCCCCACCGTGAGTGAGATTGACCCCACCGACGCCACTTCCATGATGCAGATGACCAACTCGGAACGTGCGCGACTACAGGAACACCGCATCCCTGAGAATGTCATCCGGCAGCTGGAAATCATGCTCGACAGGCTCGAGAACATGCAGGACCATGGAGAAGGTCCTGAGGGACGGTGGGCAATTGGCTGCCTTGTCCGGCGCGCGACGAAGCAATTTTGGAGGTCCTAGCTCGTCGTCTAATGCCGCGGGGGTTCCTACCTATCCGTAGAGTACCAACCTCGGAGTTCAGAAGGTGGAGTGCCTTCCAGTGGGCCAGACAACTCATCCGTGTCTTGCTGGAACACTTCGAAGGACACCTACAGACGCCGCTCCAGGGAAGCGAAATAGTGCCGACGCCTCCGTTGGTACCCTCGAGCCAGAGCAGCAGAGCGGTATCAGGTGACACCGTCGCGTCGGCCAGCATGGATGAGCAGCCCTCGGGTTCCAGTGATGCGCCAAGGCGGGCATCGTCAATGGCGGAAGAGACCGAGGCCCAGTCGCCGGCCATTTCTCAACACAGTGGTGATGCCGGCTGGGAGATCGACTCCAATGGCTACATCATTGACGATGAGGAGGATGCTGCACCCGCGGAGGTTGAACCGTTCACACCGGCCCAGTTGGCGATCTACTCCCAGGTGACACTCGAGCCGGTAGGCATCTGGAGAGACGTCGATGCTGATCAAACTGGCCGCCCTACCCCTGCGTCTTCCTCTTACCGGGACGGGACTCCCCACACGTCGTCGACGGCGCCGGTTCCAACCGCCCCGTCAACTCCTACTACGCCGCCGACCACAGCCGCGACACCATCTACAACCGAGACCTCGACTACTTGTGCCCCTTGGACGTGGAGCCCGCCATCAACGTTGGCCAGTGTGGAAATGAGAACGTGCACCCTTACCTCGACGGGGGTGACTTGGACGGCATCACAGGACATGCTAATGGGGACGACTTCGCTGGAGACCTTGTCTGACAATGTCGGGGAGATTTTCAGCGATGCCGCAGTGCTCGTGCAGCTCGGCTTGTCCTTAGCAACGACGACCTCTACCAGCACTTCTCCCTCATGGCCTTCGGACCTGGTCAGGGATGCAGTCAACCGGGCCGCCGTCCAAGGAAACCAGGTCGATATTGTGGACCTCATCCGCCGCCTCCGTGACCGACAGCGCCATTTGGCGAACTGCCAACAACTCTTGGGAATAGCCATTGACGAGGCACTGCCATGGCTGGGGCTCCCTCTTTCGGCGGCTCCATTCAATGGAGGGCCCATGGACGAGACGATCTGGGCGGTGATTCAGCATGAGAGCCAGTTCGGCACAGGCACGTCACTCTCGGTGCCGTTCCACACTGTCACAAACCCGGTGGTCCTCCTGCAGCCGCACCTCCCAGGGACGATTGCTGAACTGCAAACCATGCTACCTGGACATGAACCACACACCGTCGCAGGCCACAGAAGGCGACTCTGGCGTGCGGCAGTCCGTCGACTGTATCAAGACCAAGGCAGGGCTGTGCCAGAGGGAAGTTGGCCGGCGGAGAACGACCGAGTGCTCTTCATAATCCAGGCCGATGAGCAAATGATGGTTGGAGCCGCCCCTCCTGGACATCGAATTCCTGCGCTTCAACATCATGCAGACGCTCGTGAGCAGCAGCTGGGAAGACGACGAGGCCGGCGACCACGGCCAAACCCTCGGATTGTGCAGTCGGGGGACATGCTGGCCATGGTTTCGTCAACGTCGCCGGCGACTGTGGCATCGCGACCACCTGACCGAGGACCAAGTGATCATCTCCGGGAACGCTCTCGAAGTAGGGATGCGGTGTTCATTGTGCCGGAGGTTGAGCCAAGCGTGGATGAGGAGGTTGGCCTGCCTCCTGTCCTGGGACCTAGACCCCCAAACCTGCGACGTCGTAGAGCGCGGCAACGATATGGATGGGCTTCTTCCAGCACTACCGGTACTACAACGTGGGGATGGGTGGAGGCTGGTGTGGTGCCGTTGCTGTCCTCAGGGGATCTGATGGAGTCTCGAGCGGTGCTTGAAAGTGAGGAGTAAGGCAGGACGAGGTTCGTGAAGAGCATGTGCGTGGCAGCTCTGCATCTTTGAGATGTTCGAATGGTTGATGCTGGAGTACAGTGACGTCTGAGTGTGGGTACGGTAACAGTGTAAGCCTCTCTTGAGGCAGGCTCGTGCAGACGCAAAAGAGTCATTGCACTTTAAAAAAAAAACCTTATCTAAAGGCCCTAGGTTCGCTGCAAGGGTTCAGATTTACCGAGATTCCGCCATTATATGTCAGATCTGGGGAGACATGTCACAGTCCCGAACTAAACCCTTGGGTTTAGGGTTTAGGGTTTAGGGTTTAGGGTTCCTAAGCCCCCCTGTTTCGGTTAATATAGGGGCCTGAATTATTGCCACTACTATTTTGGGGGGGTTCTTTATGACAAGTATAGTCTAATGGGCCCCGAAACCCTATCCTAGTTATCAAGGCCCCTACATCATAGAACCCTTGTAGTATCCCTTACAGAGCCCCTTAAAAGGAACCCTTTAAAGGGAACCCTATTCTAATTATGAAGGCCCCTACCCTTAACCCTAAACCCTGAACCCTGAACCCTTAAACCCAAAACCACATTATGAAGGCCCCTGGATTACCCGAAATACAAAGCTTCAGAGGCCGGCAACCTTTGCCAGGCTCCGAAGCTGAACCCCCAGATCCTCCCCCAGCGTTTAATGGTGGTTTAGGGTTTAGGGTTTAGGGTTTAGGGTATAGGCTTCCTTATTATAGTTACCTACAGTCTCCATTGTAGTTCCTTTTTCTGGTTTAACCAATTTTCTATTGGGGATTTTATAAGGTATCCCAAAAAGGAACTACAATGGAGACTATAGGTATAGTAAAATGGACCCCGAAACCATATTCTAATTAGCAAGGCTTCTACATTAGGTGGTTAATGGTTTACTGTTCCTTATTATAGTTATAGTAAAATGGACCCCAAAACCATATTCTAATTAGTAAGGCTTTTACATGAGGGTTTAGGGTTTCCTAGGTAGCATTCGGGAGAGCCCTTAATTAGGGGACCCTCTGTTCACCTTGTTGACCTTACTTGTGGCTCTCTTAAACGGGACCTTATTGCGAGGGTCTTTCTCCCCAAGCCCTAATCCTAACTTTTCGGGTTTAGGGTTTGGGGAAGCCCAGCAGCCCAAGCCAATTAAAGGCAGTCACCCCCTTCCTCCCCTTTCCGAGAGTTCCGAGCAGAAACTCCTACTCTTGAATACAAAAAGCCTGACATATAGGGCCTTGAAGAATCGGCAGCATCATACCTTGGGGTTCATAACATAGTATAAGTGCTCTCCCCAAACCCTTAACTCTGAACCCTCCATCTTTGGCTTTCCGACGCGGGCTGTTTAACGGCCATAATTAAAGCAGATACCCTAAGGGTCCATGTACCCAAATATTAGATATTTGGCCACACAGTACCCAAACAGGGGCTACTTTAATGCCACAGTACCTACTATTTGGGCACATGGACCCTTAGTGTAAGGCTCCATCTTTTTTGGCCTGAAGTTGATGTAGGACTGAGCGCCGGGATCCTTCTTCACCGGCGTTTTCAGAGGCTCTTCGTACTTAGCCCTAAACTCCTTAACCCTGAAACCCTAAACCCTTAATACTGTTGATGTCCAAAATCCTGCATGACTTGCATCATCGCTCATATCTCATGTCGCGATGTCCACTTCCCCGCAAGCCCTTAATTTCAATGTTGCATCTCCATGGGGTCATGCAGGATTTTGGGCATTCGCGCAAGCCCTTGTTTTAGCCCCCGCGTCAGTGCAATGTTAAAATTAAGGGTAGCCAGGGAGCTGTGAGGAGGTTCAAAGTGATGCAGGATTTAGGGCATCACCCGTAAGACCCTAAAGAACCTCCTTTTTTGGGGTTCTGTTTTGTGATTTCTTGACATAAGTCCTTAAAAAAAGGTAGGTTATTTGAGGTTAAGGTAGGGCCAGCAAAATGCACACCTGGAAGCCACACCAGAAAAGAGGGCGTAGTTCCCTGCCCTAGATTAGGGTCCCTTTTGTAGGTCCCAAGAAGGGTACGGCACCCTCATAAACAGGATCCGAAAAAGGGACGCTAGTTTAGAGAATTGTTCAAGGATCTTCTGCAAGTACCAATGCCGCCCGGAAATGTCTTCTGCATTAGGCTTGAAAGTTCGGGTGCACCGGGTACTGTACCGGTTTTTAAGGTTCATGTCTACATGGAATACTATATGGGCCTAAATCATTACCTATACTACTTTGGGGGTTCCTTATTATAAGTACAGTATAATATACTCCAAAACTCTATTCTATTTATTTAGGCCCCTATATGTTCCGTGTTTAAAGATTGCGGATGGACACCTACCCAAACGGTCCAAAGTACCGATATAGTGGCATATAGGGTTTATTCTAGATTAGGAATCCTTAATTATTATGAGTTGGGAGAGTATCCCCCGTAATAGTACCTAGGACTCTTTGGGCTAAGGCTGACCCTCTTCCAGCAGATTGTCGCTGGGGACAGCTGGGGACTGGTCTCCATACCACTGATTAAGGACTCTTGGCAAGTCCTGGTTTCCAACTTTTGGGTTTTCGGTTTAGGGTTTAGGGTTTAGGGTTTAGGGTGGGTCCGGGGTTTGGGTATGTATAGGGTTTGGGGGCCAGGGTTCAATCTTCAAGGTTGCCTTGAACCTTATTTCCCCCTTCCCGGAGGTTTAAGGTTTAGGGCGTAGGCCCTGGTGCAGGATTCTGATCGTTGCCCCTAAACCC